TTTTTTTTTTAATTTCTAATAACTAACCATCCTAGGGATTTGAAATGAAGATGGCCTGGAGATCTTCATTTCATGGACTGGAGAGAGACAACTCCCTCCTCATAATACGCCGGCACCATTGGGTCAAATTCAAGGTGATAAGGCTCCTAAGGGAAAGGGAATTGAATTGCTTCGATAAGGTTCATTGTATCCATAGTGATGGATCAACGAGATGTGCGGTTCTAAGTAGTATTATCCATGACCAGAAAGACGGCACTGGGCTTAGATCCAACTGTTCACTATGGGAGCAATGATCTCAGTCAGGCCAGTGAAGTAGAAAAATAAAAGAAGAAAATCTACGATAAATGCATCCCTTTCCTAAAAGAAAAATTACCGAGACCTTCGGAGAGAGAGAGAGAGTTCACCGTGAGAGGTTTTGGTCTCGAGGAACGATTCCTAAAAGAACAGGGAGCTTCTTCGAGGAACTTGGTGTTGATGTCGGGGAGCTTGCAGTGTTGGCCGAGGGTATTATTCTGGACTCCCTTGGGATCATTCATCATTACACATATAATAACTAGAGGTTGATTAATAAATAAATTGTAATTTATTTATTTATTCCATTTTAAATAATTTAACTTGTCTATGGTCATAGGATTATGTTATTTGCTATGTGTGCGTTCTAATTTTCCAGTTTTGGAATTTTGGCACTCGAATATCCTTTTTTTTTTTATGTATATATACAAAAATTTCAGAAATTGTTTTGTATTGGTTTTAACGAAATATATATTGTATAATTCTAATTGTGTGGATTGGTATATTATTGTATTAATGTTGTATGTGATGAGTGATGTGGACTAGATTTTGTATATATATATATATATATATATACAATTATTATATTATATATTATACAATTATATATATATAAAATTGTTATATTATATATTACATCATAGATATATATATATATATATATATATATATATATATATATATAATATATATATATATATATATATATATATATATATATATATATATATATGTATATATATGTGTGTGATTAAGTATAATTAAGTTCTATGTCAAAAAAAAAAGATTGATGAGTATGCTGTGTATCGATACCCTATTTAGTAGGGCATCACTGCTTTAAATAAAGTATTTCTCTCTGTTAGTCAGTAATAAAACTATATATGAACAAGTAATACAAAAATGAAAATCCTGCATTTACAATTATGTTTTCAGAAAATGGTAAGCAGGAAAGTAAAAAATAAACAAATCGTTCATGTCGACATTTGCCATACTCGATTAAAATTTGAAAATCCATGTTTTGAGATTATTGTAGTGAAAACGTAGAAATTGATACTGTATTTCTTGGAGATATAAATTTTAATTATCTACTTTCAATCATAATGTGAGAAACAGTCTCAGCTGTATTCTGCAAGGACAAAGAAATACTAATTCTAAATTAGTACGTTTTATTTTATTGATCAAAGCCAATCAACCCAGATATTGGAAATTTTATTTTTCCATTATATTTTACAAATGTTTTAGCCTTCAACGAAGTCACGATCAAACCTTTGTATTGACTTGACGCAGAATTGCTCTGTTTTGGCACAATTTTAATTTTTTTTTAAAGTCCAATGATTTTTATATAACAAAAATTGTGCTGAATAAAACTCATTTTCTTATGAGTTTAAAAAAAAAACAAATCATCTTTTTATAATCTCCTTTTTGATCAGATCATTTGCTGAATGACAACAAGCTGTTGATGAAAAATTATGTAATAAGAAAAAACAATGAAATAATATAAAAAATCATATAAATTAAAGGAAAATAAATAGTTTTCACGATATTTAATAGCAGGCTATCATCAATAATGTTTTCAAAATAAATCTCCTACTATTTGCATCATTTTTTTTTTTTTTTTTCATCTCGTTACTTATTGCCAACTGTAACGCTAACGCCATCTGTGGGTAGTGTTACCAACTATTAAAACAACAAGACGATTGATTTATTTACAATAAAATTAAGAACTTCTGTTTTCAAACGGATTGTTTGTCTATTATAAAGCTTTCAGATATAAATACTACCCTCCACAAAGGGGGTAATAACACTTTTAAATTATAATTTTTAAATTTTTTGATTAAATTATTATGTTTCATATCTGTAATTGAAAAAAAAAAAAAATACCTCATGAACTTACTGTTAATGTTCCATCCAGCTAAGTCTTAAATGACCTATATCAGTATTTCTCTTTCTATACAAATATTTTAAATAAAGTATTTTTTTATATTGATATTTCTGTCCATGTATCGTATTTATGAAGTCCTAATGTCTTTTGTTACATGAAGAAGGACATTTTATCATCATGATTTTTAATTATTTCATAATTTTATTAGGCAACGTTATGGCCAGTACTGGAGCCATTTGCTTAATGTCTTTGTTTGAACTTCCATTGACAAAGCCTAGGTCAAATTTGACAGCATTTGTTTTAATAAGTAACAATATGTTATGTTGTTTCTCCTATCGTTTTATAAAGTCTCTTCATCTAATCCTAATAAGAAGATGGGAAATTCAACTTGCTTTGTACTACAGCAAGTGGATTAAAGTTTGACATATAGTTTGTCAATGAAGGTAAAAATTAATACTTAAACATTGCACTAGTTGTTTTCAAATGGTTGTAACCATTGAAATTATAAAACATGCAGATAAAGCATGGTGATCGAATCAGATAAAAAACCAACAGAAAATATTAGTTTTGTTTGTTAATGTATTTGACCTTAATGCGAGTTCTAAACCTTAATATTTAAGAAGATTTTATTTTTATTTTACACTTATAATTATGTAAATAAAAATAATCCAAATTTATTATATACTAAATTACATTATATCAATTATATAAGATTATGACAATGTATTGTCACAGCTTACAAAAACATAAGAACGTTAAAAAAAAAAGTCTGCCAAGTATGGTCAGTATAGCTCCCTCACGGTTTGCATTGGCTTTAATATATCTATATCACAAGGTATACAATTTTTCGGATGAGAATAAAATCTATAGAAGAAGCCGATTCGGAAATATAGTTACCCTTCAACATTCGCTAATTTCATATCCAGGAATTTGGTTTATCAGCTAATATTAAAATGTGAAAGAGTGCCGTATTTGAAGATTTCATATTTGATGATTTTTAATTTAAAAAAAAAAATGCATACTGAGCATGCATATCACTACTGTTACTGCAAAAGGTCATCATCATATGTGGCACGACATCCCGTTACCGAGCCTCCGCCAGTTGGCTCTGTCTTCTGCTGCAGGCCACGTTGTCCAACCATCTCGTCCTCGGTCTTCCTACCCGTCTTACGAGGTGCAGCTCCTCCATCATTATTTTCTTTGGTATTTCAACGGTGCTCATTCTGGTCACATGCCCTGCCCACCTTAGTCTGGCCAGTTTAATATACGTGACTACGTCGATGTCTGTATAGAGATAACTGAGCTCCCTATTTTTTCTTTTCCTCCAGACATCACCCTCCTTTACTGGACCATAAATCCTTCTGAGGACTCCTCGCTCAAAGACACTCAGCTTCATCTCATCGTTTTTGGTCATCGTCCAAGCCTCTGAGCCATATGTCAAAACAGGCCGAACAAGGGTCTTGTATATCATCAGCTTGGTCTTCTTTGAGAGGTACCTACTTCTTAAGTGTCGGCCAAGTCCAAAGACACATCTATTGGCAGCCGTGATCCTTCTCTGTATTTCTTGAGCCATGTCATTTTTGCTATTAATTTCAGACCCAAGGTATATGAAACTTTATATAAAACTGCAAAAGGTCGTATGTAAAAATTTATTATTTTACAAGTTGCATAAAAATTAATTATTGCTTTATGCTTTATTAGTATAATTTGATATTTTATTGTCCTCTGCTATTTTCCATTGTAGCAGACTACAAAATAGTAACCTTTAGCAAAAATAGTATAAAAGTTGAAAATTTTTACATACGACCTTTTGCATTCAAAGCAGTAATATGTATTTAATAGGTATGTTTTCACTCGTAAAATGGATGGAACTAGAAAATCCATAAGAAAAATTCAAGTTATTGTTTGTTTATAGTTGACTAGACAAATACTTTTCTTCAGTCAGAACAAAAATAATTAAGCTGGAATATAAAAGTATGAGTAAAGTTCACACCACTTCGATATTTAAGGAAGAAATAGAGACCAAGACGAACTGGTTGAACTTCAATGGAAATAAACACAATCACAAATAAGACTTTTTTTTACGAATTCAGAGTAAAAATTACTTTAAATTTAAGGAAAATTACACGAAATCTAAGTAACAGAAATAAGTGCCATGCCAGTAACGTTTGGAATCGACCAAACAATACAGTAATCGATCGCCCTCCTAGGATTCTCATTGATCAATCATTTGAGACTACCCTTTACAACCTAATCCCGTCCTGCTACGATGTTATCCTTTCCGGAGAATTTAATACTAATTAACTAATGCCATCCTCTAATTATTCTTAACTAACAACTCTCCTTCATTCCCTCTTCTTCTACATGGTGCCCTATGACCCAACTCCCCATGCCTGATTTCTTTATCCTAGATTCCTAAGATAAACTCCGCATCACAGCATCCGGTCCCATTTCTATTTCCCATGATTTTATCGAGATTTACTACAATGTTCCGATTCCATTTTCTTCTCTCCAAACTATATCCCTCCGAAGCCTCAATTCCTTCAACTAAGAAAACCTCTCGCATGATCTCGATGATTTCCAATGGGACTACATTTATTCCTTAAACTCAATCGATACCATCGCAGAATCGATACCATGCTGCCAGACGGTAGTTTAAAAGAAGTTATTTCCAGAAGACCATATGTCCATCAAACAACTTCTAAACAGCATTCGATCTGCAGTTATTCAATTACTGGAGCAAATCCAAGTAGTTCTATCAATCCAATCCTTCGAATCATCCACTATTTCTTTTCAATTATGGTTTAAAGGAAAATTATTAAATCATTTATGACTATTTTGCAACACTTCATATTTTTTATTTTACAATAAATCAATAATCATTCGATAAAATTATTTTCTATAACTGTATAGCTAAGTCATGAGAAATACATCACAATAGAAATATGCATTATTACATAGAGATACTTTGTGCGATACTGTCATCTTTCTGTGACTATACTTGTGCATAAAATAATAAAAGTAATTCTTTGGCTCAGTCGACTGCCAGTTTCCTGAAGGTGCCGTCAATTCCGTAAGTGTTCTGGGAGTCTGGAGGTCGCTTCTTCTCGTCTGAGGACTGCCTTGTGGATTTCAGGAACCATTCTCGATTTTCTTCCAGTTGGTCCAACCAGTAATCTAGAAAATAAGTTCCTAATTTAGCTAAGATAATCCCAATAACCGAAATTCGAAATAAAACCATATATAACTATTAAAGTAATAGAGTATTACATGAGTAAAAAATTAAAACACCGGAAATAAGGTGGCTCTAGATTCTCATTTGTGAATCGGACAATATTCCAAAAAAATAAAGTAAACCAAATATTAAATATTCCATAAAAAGGGATAGTTTATAGACCAAATCTCGAACAGTCACTGCAAAGCAGAATTCTTGACATCGTTTCTTTATATTCTACGATATCAACCTAAATTTGAAACATTCATAACATGAAAAATACTGAAGTATTAGTGTAATTGACGATGGTTCCTTGTAATTTATGGAAAAGATTTGCTTGAGACATATATACACAAAAAATAAACAAATACGTTTATACTAATAAATAGACATACATATAGTATTACATAATATACATATATGAAATTCACATAATCTCTCTTTACCATTTAGTTCAGCGGAAGATTTGTCATTTCCTCCGTAATCGGAAGGCAACATTTCTAATGGCAGGTACTCTTTTAGGTTTGACGCTCCTTCCTTGAAAACTTTTGTCTAAATAAACATAACCAAATAAAACAATTACATATAAATCTGTGTTGATAAAAATTAACATCACTATGAAAAAAAGAGATTAAAATTTGAAAATCAATACTTTGTTTCTAACATCAATTTCGGAAAGATTGTTTATATTAATCAACATTTATACATTTTAAAGTATATACTAAATTGTGCCTCATTGTGAAATACAATACTGCTAAGAAGTGGAAAGGTTTAACTCTGAGACACAGAGAGCAACATGGTAGAGTACTAAACAGTCTTACATAAAATCAAAATAAAGAAAGATCTTTGTTTTTTCAGAGTTGAGTGAGTTAGTCAGACAAACAGATAATGCCGAAACCTTGAAAAACCTCTGCGATCCTAAAAATAAAGAAATCATGAATAAGATCGTGAATGATCTCACGATTTTGAAATGCATCGGCGGGGGTCGATCTCTCTGCTTCAAATCTCTCCAAGCTACAAAGGCTTAAAATGCTCCTCCTTGTGCCAGAACTCTGCACTTAGGATCATTACTCTCCAGGAATCTCTAGCTCACTCGTGAGTGTATGATCTTCCAGAAACATTTTTTGTCCGCGGTAAATAGGTTGTTAGGAAGTCGACAAATACGTCGTACGCGTTCTGGTCAAGAACATCAATTTTAGGAGGAAAATTTGGTCCAGTGCAATCCTCTCTTTACTAAACCTACCTTGGTGGTGGCCTATTACATCTTCATAATATAGTCAGATAGTCATTATCTTTTAGACAACAGGAAAGAATGCTTTATGTTTTTACTATGTCTTTATAATTACTGCACGATTTGGCAGACAAGGCAAATTTTCCAGATCTCTCATACACATTCCTCCTTCCTCTTCTGAATGCAGTTCTGTTTTCAGACAAACGTCATTATCTTACAATTGCAAGTGCTATGCCCAGATAATAAAAATAAATCCGTTCATGGATTATATATATATACACAAACACACACACACACGATCACGCACAGGGTGTCCAGTAAGTAGAGAAAAATAATTAAAAGGTTGATAGTAGACATAAAGAACAACAATTGAAATTTGAAAAGAAACAATTGAGAAATTTTCTATTACTTAAATCGAATATTGTTTATGTTATCGCTTCCTATTCGACAAAAAACGTGACTCGCTTAAAAAAAAGGAAATCTTAAATTTTCTTCTGGAAATTGGGCAATTATTTTTAGGAAAGTATATCTTGTTATCTACTATCAATATTTTAAATATTTCCCTCTACTTACTGGTCACCCGGTCTATTACCTAATCATTTTATAAAATTAAATTGTTTGGTTTTCAATCATAAATATCAAGAATAAGCTTGCATTTTCTTAGCTATATTTTTACAAATAATTCAATGATATTTATTTAATTATAGTTACCCTGTTATATAACTTAGCTTTCAGCACGGGCTTAACCAAGTTGTTAACTATAAATTCAATCGTGGAAGAAGCGTTGATACAAAAGCACCCATGCAACTTCATTGGGTATCCATCCTGGAAATTATATAAATAAAAATATTATTCAGATTATCGTAAAGTTTTAAGGCTCCATTTTTTATCCCAAGAAAATAAATATTCGATATTGATAAGAACATTTCAACTACTTGGTTTATTTTCACTCGAACAAAAATGATGTATATTACGAAATAATTACATTGCAACAATTTAAGATATTTAAAAAGTAAAATAAGTTAAAACTCTATTTTTATAACAATTTTATTGAGCATTATAATACCCTATCGCAATGGTTATAGCCAGGAATGTACACCATATTGACCGAAAATATAAACAAATAATTCTTTTATTTTGCTTCCTCACTACCGAAGGTAGGGAAGCATTGTGTTGGTGCGAGAGGTTAAAAAAATGTTTTTACTCAGAATCGAAAATATCCACTCGCGTTTAACGTTTCAGACATCAAGGATAAAATTTGGTTCGGTGTCTGTCTTTCAGTCTGTCTGTCAGTAGTCAAATCGATGTGACGGGGATATCACCTAGTAACGTTCATCCGATTTTCATGAAATTTCAGCGATTATGCTGATTTGTGTCTTGATGGTCCCATATTAATTTTATCAAATACCATTTAGCAATTCCGCTTACGCACGCGCAAGCGTATTTTTTAGATATGTCAATAATTCAGAAAGTTCTCGCTCAATTTGGCTCAAAGTTAGATAAAAGGTAGGTGCTGGTAAAAAAATAACGTAATGCCAATTTTATTGAATTCTGTCCACTGATTTCTCGTATATATGCGCAAACGTGTTTCCCTAGATATGTCTATATCTCTAAAACCGCATGTTCGATTGGGGTCAAATTAGAAGGAAAGTTAGGGTTGGTAAACAGATGAGCAAGTGATTTACGGATACATTCTGTAAGTTGACGTAAATCAGAAGGTCAGCAGAAAACATCTAGATCATCTGGTTGTTTATATAAAAAAAAAAATTATATATATATATATAAAAAAATTATATATATATATATATATATATATATATATATATATATATATATATATATATATATATATATATATATAATTTTTTTTTCTATTGGCGCTACAGACCATGAAGATCTTTAACCGCGAGTGTTTTCTCCTAGACCATATCCCGATTCCCGATTTAAAGTACGGGGTAGGGTCATCAATCCTACGCTCGGTCTTTGTGAGTTGCCTCCAGTAGGCCAACAAGCCCCATATCCCGGGATGGGAGGAATCGCGCTCAGCCTGGCTTTGCTAGGAAAGGAGAAAAGTATACATATGATGGATGACGCTGTAGGTAAGAAAAAACTGTGAAAATAAATTTGGAAAGAAGTAGATAATGGCTGTAAGAGAAGAGAAAAAATAAAAACAAAATAGAGTTATGTTCGAAAATATGAAAGAGAAAAAAATTACATTGGTTAAAATAGAGAAACATTAATAATAATAGTAGTAGATGTTCAACCCAGCACGGTGCATATATATATATATATTACTAATATCCAGATCATTATTTTCTCCTTGGTCCAGGCGTAAGTAAGTGAAATCCTCAATCAGTTATAACCAGAGCTTGAAATGAAATTGTAACTTATAATCAGTTTCGGTTTGACTTGAATATTTATTTTGATTTTTTTTTTCTTCTAATTTGATACTACTATTTTTCCCCTTGCAAAATTTAAAATAAAGATTCTATAAATATTTAGTTTTATAAATTGTTTATTACAACTTCTATTGATTTTGCCAAAAAAATATCTAAAAAGTTACTATTTAACTGCTTTGTTCAATGATGAATTCAATGAATCATTCAAATCAATGATGAATCATTTAATTCATTCAAGATAAATTATAATTATAATCTAAGCTCAATTATTGTCTATTTCTCATGTAAAATAAATTTGTTAAGAACTTAAAAAAGGAAAATTATACTTTTACCATATATCTAGAACTTAATTCCAAAAATGTTTCTCAGAACATATATTTAAAAAAAATTGTTTGCTAAAAAGTTTCACAGAAACTATTAAAATGGGACTTATTAAAAAGTTTCATAAATGTTTTAACTCCTGGTAATAATCAAAACCCTGCCAGGTATATACATATACAAAGAAGAAAAGGGAATATTCTTATGGAGTAAATTAATCATCATTTTGTACGCTTTAGTTTCTGTGAACAATCTACTGTTACGTGGGAGAGGCAGGGGACTCTTCCAACAAGTGTGACTATCATGGTCCTTTTTGCTAATCTCTGACGGCTACCATGAGGTTGCCTCCGCGTACTTACTAGGAATGTCACGACTTATTTTCCGGGACCTCCGAGAAATGAAAAGTAACCTACCCAGGTGGGAATTGAACCCACAACGTTCAGAACCGGGCACTATGGGACCCACACCCCAACGTGCTCGGCCATCCAGTCCTCACTGTGAACGAACAAAATAAACTGATTTTTTAGAAACTGAGGAATTTTCAATAAAAGAAGGATGATTCGCTTTGAGTATCGTACGATATCGAATTAAAATGTCCAAATAATCATTTTTGCATGACAATAAGTAAATATGGATTAATCACGAGACTCACCTGAAAAGAACCCAAAATAGCGGCGACGATGGAGGAATTTACCATTGTGATCGCCGAAGCAGGTACTCCATCACAGTCAAAGACGAAGTAACCCCCAAATTCACTCGTATCAGACCACTGCTTCATGCGAAGTTCCAGCATCATCAACATTCGCGTCGCTTCGTGTGGGTGGTCAAACACTTTGCTAAAGCAATCGTTGAATGATACAAAATACACTATGTGACCCTCAGGGGTGGTATTTGTCAAGAAGAAATGATTCCTGTTCAATAAAAAATCTATAATTAATAATAAAATAAAAAAATTGACAAAATCAATTTAGAATATTCAATTATTGGAATATCTATTTTTGGAATATTCAAAAACATATCCTCAAGTCTATTAAATGACAACAAAAAAATAAGCAAATAAGGCTTCGCAATTTCAGGCACGATCAATCTGAATTGAAAATCGCAAAATCACTAAATATATCAGTAAAATTAGGGACTGACCCCCAAAATTCAAAAAATAAAGATAAAACTTGTCACAAATTATACAATTTCATAAATATAATAAGTACACTACACTATAATATAATAGAATAAATATAATCTCATAAATATCACCATAATCATTAATTTTATCAAATAAATGTATAGGATCATTTTTGTAGGGATTTTAAAGTACTTTAATATTACAGGGAACAATATTTGCGAAATGCATCACAGTTTTTGAGATATTCTTAAAAAAACTAAAAAATATCACTTTTCTGTCCTTCCTTCCCTCTTCCCCTCCAAAACATGACGCGGGATTCTTTGGGACTTTTGACCAGTTATTATATAGAGGCTAATAAACAATTTATGACAAGTTTCATCTATATTTTTTGAATTTTGGGGTTCTATTATAAATGTTCTTTGAGACAGATTGTAATATTTCTCAATAAACAAGTTCCAGAATGTTGGGGTAAGGTTGGTTTTCCCCTTAACTTTAATGGACTATAAAATGCGAAGAGTATAAAGAGATAGCACACCTCACCTTATCAACTTTCAAGTAGTCTTTATCAAAACAGTTCATAAATAGTAGACGCCTCAACGCCTTGACGGGTGGAAAGAGGTTATTTTTTTAAATAACTTTATTTAATATCCTTCATATTTTTTATATTTATCAAATTTATAGTTATATTATATTTTGAAACTCACACCACTTAAATTGAAACTAAAAATAATCTTTACCCAAATTAGACTGTTGAGAATTATTTATTGCCAACAACAAGAAATAATTGACTGCAAAACAGCAAGTGCAAAAGAAGATAGAGTAAATGATTTACTATCATTTCTCATTATTTAATTACAAATATTTCCTACATAGAACCATATTGAATGATATAGCCCATTTTTAACATTTTTTCCCATAAAATTGAAATATAAAACATACAAATAATCTCAGTTTTCAACAAAACGATTTTTTCATTATTCCTAGCAGTTTTTTTTAGGCATCGTTGAGGGTTGTTCCAGATAAAGCAGTAGAAATTCCAGTCTTAACTTTGCCTTCATAACGTTAGGATTTGAAATAAAATATAAATGATACAGGGATTTCTTTTTTTATGTCCTCTCCCACCAAAAACAATTTGCGCAACTCCCCTGACTCAACGTACTTATATTGTTAATTTTATACTAGGAGTATATTTTTATCTGTTTAGGAGTTTTTTGTTTATTTATTGTTAAATTCCGCATCTACCCGATCGGGTCATTAGCGGCTTTAGATGTAATCAAATTAGGTGTACAAATTTAATGTCTTTTATAAATTCAAACACTTTTTGTATCTTTTCTTCGTCATCTGAAAGTGCTTCAGATATGTTGGAAGGTATATTATGTTTTGTTCTGGTGTCAGAGTATAGTCTGCAAGTTGTTACAATGTGTTTCAGTGTAAGTGATGTGTTGCATGTTTTACAAAATGGTGGTTCCAGGCCTCTCATTAGGTAGCCATGGGTAAAGGCTGCATGTCCAATTCTAAGCCGAGTTAAAATTGTTTCTTCTTTTCTGTTCTTTCTGAAAGAGGTCGTCCACGGTTTGGTATCTTTTTTGATTTCTTGCAATTTATTCGTAGATTGGTTCCACTTGAATTGCCATTTTTCATTTAGGATTTTTTTGCATTCCAATCTCCAGTCAGCAGTGGTCGTTAAATTGATCATTGTGGTTCCATTAGTTTTTCTTCTTGCCAGGTTCGCAGCTCTGTCTGCAGCTTCGTTCCCAGATATGCCACAATGTGAGGGTGCCCATGCGAGGACGATGTCTCTGTCCGGCGACTCCTTCATTTCCCAGAGGCAGTTTTTGATTTTCCTGGAAATGGCATTGTCGGCTTTCCCTTCGGCAATGGCCATTAATGAGCTTAAAGAGTCTGTAACTATAAGGCCATTTTTTATGTTTTTTCCTGTTAGTAATAACAAAGCCTGATATATGGCGAATAGTTCGCCTGTGAAGACGCTGTTTATTTGGGGAAATTCTTATATCTCTTGTACAAGTTAATATTGCGAAATAATGGTACTTAAACCTGGGGACGTTGTATATGTCGTTTTATTTTGTAATAGTTGAGAAACTGAAGGCTTTATTTCGGAATCATTTAATATTATTATCTCTAGTATTCAATATTAGTATTGGAATTACACATGCTATCATTCAAATCTCTAAGCTTAATTTTTTATTCATAAACATAACTTCATTTTATTCACATCAATGTGGCTGTCAATCAAGGTCGTAGGCAGAAGAGTGAGTAATTATTATAAAGAGGGGGATAGACGATTAATATCAAGGTAGATAGGTTAGTTTTTTTTGTTATTAATTTCTCGAAGGGTGTTGAAATGTCATATACCTTGCAACCTTGAGTTGAAAAGTGTTACCAACATGTCATAGTTAATGCATTTTTCAGAACTTAGTTATTTTATATATTACTTTGTTTTGAATATTTGTCATTATGGACGCTACACTACCTTGGCCACCAATGGATCCATGGTAACGATGAAGTGACATAACATTCATTGTAACAGTTTCTTTTTCCTTCTTTTTTTTTTTTGCGTTTGTTGTAAAAATGTGGTAAATTCGCCTTTAAGGATTTAGAATGAACCAAGCAGAATTGAATGTAACAGTAATCACAAAACCAACATTGAATACTGGTTAATTAAGCTGATATGAAAATGGTCTAGTATTGACCCGATAACATTGAAGCTAATAGCTTACGAATGTTATTATTAACTTATTATCAGTAGTAATAAAATAAATTAAACTTTGGTTAAATTAAATTAAGTTAACACAAATATATTTGCTTATTAATTTTCAAAGAAATTAATATTTTTTTCTACCCATGCAACTAGTCTTGCCCAAAATTGGTCTTGGTCTTGTGGTCTTGGTCTTGCACTTTTGCAAGACCAAGACTAAGACCAAGACCAGGCAAATTGTTGCAAGACCAAGACCGAGACCAGACCCTGCTAGTCTTGCGCAAGACCAAGACCAAACCCTGCTCGTCTTGTAGTTCTTGCAGTTAAGTCAAAGTCAGACTATTTTCAGATATAGTACGGTGCTTAACATTTTAATCATCTAATCTAAACAGCGTTGTTTATTTCTTGTGGAATTGTATATTTGAGCATAGGCTTCCAAATAATAATAAAAAAATAATTTTTTTTTTTGTTCTCCCGCTACCTCGCCATTAAGTTATACGGGGTTTTCGCGGGCCATGGATGAGGGCGGGGGATTAATGCCAGAGTTAAAAAACTCCCAGACAGCGAGACGCGAACTCATAATTATTTTATTGTCTCCAACTTCGGTTATCAGGTTGCCGGGCAACGCGCAGTGCTGTGCACAATTGTTAGTCCGCTCGGCCACCCCGCCCCTTAAAAATTATCATTTGCCAGGACCGGAGCAAGATAACAAAACAAAACATGAATAAAAATTAAGACTAATACAAGCCCATTTTAGTTACTATAACGAAACTTCTCTTCAAAAGAAGGGGACACTCACAGGAAATCAAAAATTGCCCGCTATAGAGAGATGTCTGTTTTAGAAAAATTGGAAGAAAAACAAGTTAAAAAATAATAACAATTAGAAAACTAAAATTGTATATTAAAATTTATATATTTAAACTAAAATCATTTATTAGTTTAAAAACATTTTTCTTTTTAAATTTTTTTTTATTTACTTAGCCTTTACCTCTAAGGATCATTGGCCTAATGATTCCATTTTATATTCCTTGATAAAAATCAATTTCTTTAAAATATTTGGGCAGTTTTCCTATTTCGTTTTCCTCATCTTGCAGAATTTCTTTCATTTCCGTTCCCATTTGTAAATGTTTCCTTGTATCAGTGTACCTTCTACTTTCTAATAATACATGCTTTACTGTTGGCTAATTTATTTTTACGAGAAATTGAATAATATATTTTGCATAGTGAAATTGCACATAAGAAACGTAAACTTTTTTAATATAGAAAAAAAGAATAGTAATTCTTAATTTTGTTTGGACTAGCGTAACTATTTCGTTTTCCTAATTGTTATGAATAGATAAAATCGTTACAATAAATCCACTTCCTCCTTCAAAATGAAATTGTTTCTTAGCCAACTAATTTGTGAGAAAACTTCTTTAATATTCATTCAGAGATCACGAAAATATATTATCAGCTAAAAGGTCCACCGCGAGTTTAATTGTTCGAAATGATTGTACGAACGCTGGGGGGTGAAGATACAAGCCTGGTGAAATCATCCATGTACAACGGATTATTCTCGAAAGGAATTATTTCTTTGCATTGACATTTCTGAGTTTGGCCCGCTGTTCGCAGTATTCCTTATTTCTTTAAAATGTCTAACACCAAGCTTTAAGTGGCTAAATTGCAAATACTGAAATTTCTGATACAATCATTAATTACAGACCTTTTTTTTTTAAATTTAACCGGAACCATGTTGACATATTACAATCAAAAGTGTGTGAATGACAACAAAGTGTTAAGACTAAATTCTATTTCAAAACCGGATTCCTTGGTGGAATTAAGCAACAGAAAAGTGGATTAATGTTCTAAGAATATGAGTTTCACAAGTCATCCCTTCAGCATCAGGTATTGGCAAATCCACTTTAAGTACCTTAACTACTAATTAAAGCTTTTATGAATTTTATGTGCGAATCTAACAGATGTGCTAAAAACATAATTCAATTAGTTGTATAAACATATGTATTTATGCTTTATGAAGTTTAAAATTAACATTATACGGCTCAAACACTAATGACGTTCCGAATTGTCGTGTAAGGTAGTGAATGAAGTACTGATGGTGGTGCGCTGCGGATTTCCGAACATCTGGAAATCAAAGGTTCATTCACGAGAAGTGGAGGGGAGACCGACTAAACATATGGGCTGGGGAGACCAACCATACTGCTGGATAGGTTAGGTTACCTAGGCCTCACAACCATTATAAATTTCTGATTTTCATTATATGTAAATAGTTAAATAATTTTTCATATCCCTTGTTTATAATTTTAAACCATCTTTAACTATTTCTTTTAAATAGTCAAGTGGGCAACAAATTAAAAAAAAAAATGAGCAAACTTCACAATTTACTTTAGGAAAAAAATAACTTTAACGTTGTGTATATTTATCAGTTCTTTTTCCATTTTCCTCAACAAATTTATTATTTTCGCAATACCTTTCCTTAATTTTTGTAAGTAGTAGACTTACATTTTACTAACATTTGTCAAAACGATTTTCTATGAGACTAACCTTACTACTAGATAGGTTAGTTTATCTAGGTCTCGTTATTAAGTAAATAATTTCACAAAAGTAAATAGTTGTTTATATCCCTAGTCTATATTATTATTAACCATTTTCAACTATTTTTTCTTTAAATAGTCAAGTTTATGCTGTAATGAAGTGTAAGAATTACCGTGTAGGGTCCCCTTAACGATTTTAATGAAACTTTCTTCTAATTTTCTACTTAAAGTCTTTCTTTAAATTTTCGTATTTTTAGTGAAATCTCGAGACAATCCAAGAATAAAAGTTATAAAGAAAAAAAAAAATTGTTTGGCTAGCTAACTCAACACGTATACACCTATCGGTTTTAAACGGCTCTAAACGTTTTTGAGCCTATTTTTTGAAAGATCATTAAATTTCTGACTAAATTATTGACAAAAAAATCACAAGAATCGGTCCAATATGGTATATATTGTTTTTTATACGCTGATTTAAATGGTGGTACACTTGCCCGTTTTACATTGCGTGTTTCATCTAAGGAATCGTACCATAATGATTTCACTGATCAATTTTTAGAAAAATGAGTCTATTCCAATTGTTTTTTTCTGATGGATACATTTAAAGTTGTATTTTTTTAAAAATATTTAGGAAATTCTTGTGAGTGGACGCAATAAATTTGTAATTAAAATCATTGGGAACAATATATAAATTGTCTTTACTCTAAAATTCTTTCATTCCATATAACTATCTTTCAATAAAACACCTAATTGTAGTTATTTTGTAGCGTTTTTAAAAGATTTAAAGTACCATATTAATAAATAGCAATAAGCTGATAGTTAACTGCAAGACTCTTGCGCAAGACCAAGACTAAGTGCGCAAGACCAAGACCAAGACCAAGAGTAAGCGAGCAAGAACAAGACCGAGACCAAGACCAAGACCAAGGTTCATTGACGCAAGACCAAGACGGTCTTGATCTTGGTCTTGCGTTTGGGCAACACTACATGCGACCAATATTAAGTTCAGTTAAAGTGATCTAAGAGAAAAAAAAATTTGAAAATATATCAAAACCCTTTCAGTCACTAAAACAATTGCAAAATTAGCTAAAAACTTATTCCTAATAAAACTTAAAAATTAAATCTTAATTAACTAACTAAATTAGGTTTTTTAATTCAGTAATACAATCAATTTTTAAATAAATGAAACTAGATCAGAAAAAGCGATCCGAGGGGGCAGCCAATAAAGAGGCATGTTTGTACCATAACGATCTATGCTAGTTTGTCACAGCATTGAAATATGTGAATGATACAATAATGGTTCTAGATATCCTGGAAGGTGAGAAAATCCATTCACTTATAGTAGCATATAGTCCTAAGGATAATACTGAACAGGATAAAACAGTTCTTCAATGACCTGCAAAGGGGAGTTGATGGTGATGATTCCGACGGCACCCCAATGATTTTTGGAAATCTAAATGGCAGGGTGGGCTATGCGAAGGGCAAGAAAAAAAAAAGAAACCTTCTATTCCCATTCGAATCAACTTAAACATTATTCAATATTAATTTTGCAATTATTCATGTTATATTTAACTCTCCAAGGTTCATTTTCCATTTATAAATATAATTTCATCTTATTTTAAGTTGGAAATGTAATTTCACTTAGTACATGTATATACATAATGTACTGTGTTAATTTCTGCATGAAAACAAGTATCTTATTTATTTTTGTTTTAGATCAGAATACACTTACATTAACGATTTTGTATCTTGTTTTTCTTTTATGAACTAAAAAAAAAAAAAAATACAAATTTTGAATCTTTCTGCACTTGAATCGTATGTACTCTTGGAAACGCTTCAGACATTAAAGAATTTTATAACAACCACTTATGTTGACAACGGTGTACTAGGAGATATATCGTCGACACCATTTTTAAGAAACGACTGTGAAAAATTGCATTTTTCAATTTCGTTCGTTTGCCAAAGTATGTCTACCTTGTGGCTAAATGTCGAATCTGAACGGCGACTGGAAGACCGGACTCAGTAATGCCATTTTTACGAATTTGTAAATTTGTTAGATATGTAGGTAAATTTTGTAGTTACGATAATGAAAGGCTTACATTAGACAAATACATGTTCGTTACTTTGATGGCGCCGATGATATAACTACATGCTTTATGGTGTTCATAAACTGCATTATATTAGCTCTCTCAAACTAGCTATCTACTTCTAAATACTTATGTATCGTGAATAAACATTTTTACAATACAGATAGCTTTTAAATACTTACAAAGCTCTAGATTTCTCCCTGAATTGTGCGTTCACATCTCTAGCTACCTCATCGTAGAGTTTCACCATCCTATTACGATTTGAGTAATAATTATCCAGTTTGCGTTTGGCTGATTCTAGAGTTTTCGTGCCACAGACGAATGCCAGCAGAAGAGAGTGTTCTATGACAGAAATATGTTTTAATGATGTATACAGCATATATAAAGTATGAAATATAATACAATTTTTTTAGTTCACAATGTATAGTACAAAATCAGTGACTGGATCGTAATGCAATCAAAACAATGAAGATCTAATTGTGATCATCCTGCTATGGTAAATGTTAATAGAGGTAAATGCACACGTAGTTGTCCAACTATAGAATCTTTTTATTTATTTCCCTCTTCTTCTCTTTCTCTTTCTTTTCCTTTACGAGACTATAATTTTGTTGTAAAAAAGCAATAATTTTATTTAGAAAGATCCTTTATTCCTATATTTCTATTTACGGGTCACCTCAGATTGAATTAGTGAGAGTTATAAAACATTACAATGTAAAGAGCAGCTTATAAAAGTTGTAAGTAATTGGATGCGAGACCACAGGAATTTTCAGCTGGGAAAATAGACGCCACCCGAGATACCTCGGACGTGGGACCCGTCAGACTACTGAAGGTAACTCACACCAACCGGGCTACCATACCCATCCCAGAGGTTTCGTCCTTGCGCTAGCTGACGTTGAGCAGACATATTCCATGGTTCTAGGCAGATTTGTCACTGTCCATAAGCTCAGGCCAGTCGATGGGAACAATGAAACTTTGACAATATTTTTTGCTTTTAATGTTATTTATGTTATTGATACATACAATAATGAAATAGTTAATGACTCACCAACATCTTGAGGAAGGTGGGGCTGCTTGTCGAGCCAGTCCCTCAGCCGTTGCACGTCCTCTTCCACTGCCTCCTTGGTTCTCTTGATAGACATTTCTTCAACCATCGCTCAAGATGAAATTCTTTTCTACGAAGCAATCCGCAATTATAAAAAAATATTCGCTAAATAATACTTAACTTATTAAGGCTAAGAGAGAATGAACTTTATATATGTTACACAATTACAAAATTATTACAGACTACTAGTTAGTATCATAAGTATTTACGAACACCATCCTGTGTATATTTATTTGAATTTCAATACAAAACAGAAAAATATTAAAGAAATAATAAAAAAAAGCTAAAAATCTTCTTTTACAATTACATATACTGGTGGGACTTCAACTCGAAACGGTACGAAGTAAAAGATAAATAAATCACCTGTATTACATAATTACATGTTAATTATATTTATCATAATTGATTATAATTTTAATAATAATGTCTTCAGATTATTTTAGTTTAAACGAAAAATTGGTTATGTATTTCATGGTGATATAGATTTTCATTATCAGTGTTCAATCTAAATCTAAGAAATGGTCTCAGGTTCATTATAAAAGGAATGAAAAATAGTACTAATAAATTAATATATTTTACTGTTTAAATCAACCATAATATTGTATATTTTATTTTTCCATCATATTATATGAATATTTCAGCCATCAACTAAGTCACAAAAATAAATCAATCAATGATAACCGTGCAATGATAACCGTCAGCAGTTTTTTGCCCCTAAACCCAAAACAACAACAACAACTAAGTCACAATCAAATATTACATCATTTATAAATAATATATCGATACATCATATATTGTCATAATAATGTCCATTATCAAGTCCGAGAGTTGAAGAAATTTCTGATCTATAATTGTTCTTTCAACTGAGCTCTTCTCCTGGTTTGTATCAATGTTGATAAACAAATAGTGGTTTAGAATTGGCAGGTGAGCTATAAGATATAGTAAGGCTGTTCTTGAAGCTAAGATCGGCTGGTCACTTACAACGTATAGGTTCTCGACGGAAGAAGATCTATAAGCCCCAATAAATATTGAACAAGTTTTGTGATCACTATTATATCTTTTGAGAGATATTTCAAAACCAAAATTATATATCATATTTTTGAAATCTACCTTATTTCTGATTAGTGTTCGATACAAATAATACAGAATATTTTTCTATCGGTTCTCGAGTTCATTCCAGAAAACAGCTCTGGGAAAATTAAATTGCTTCAAGCGACTTATTTTCAGCCTTTTTAATTAGAAAGTCATTCTCAGCCGTCTATTTTTCTTCACTCCTGAAAAACTAGCATTTTCTATGAACGACAAAGTTTCTCCCTACTTACATCAATAATGTTGTGTTATTAAAAAAGCTCCTTTCTCCAAAGAAATTACACTTTGGATTCAGTTGTTGAATAGCTAAAGGCAGTGATTAAATTCTATTGCACTGTTGTCCCCAAGATATTTTTATTTCCTCTTCTATAAAATTTATAGATTTGCTTCTGACTGGTATTGTGAAGCCATTTGCAAACAATGTACAAATAACTGGATTACTAACACTTACAATATCATTCATCGCTATTAAAAAAATACAAGAACTTGAAACGGGCCCTTGGGATATTCCATTTCTTGAATGAATATAATTTATGGCTCATTTCCAATTTTGAAAAGAAAACTCTGCTTTCATAAAATTGTCATCATAGCTATCATTCCATTTTCAGAAACTATTATTTATAAACTGGTCTAGCTTAACATTAAAGGTCCTTGTATTATATAGGTTGGCTTGTTACTATAAATTAGAAATATTCATTCAGGCTGCTGACCCTGAATCAAATAACAGAACTTGAATCACCATTATCGACTCATAAAACTGTAATGGATTAATTTTCCACCAATCAAACCAAGAGAAAAATCTCTTGCAGTTCAGAGTTTGTCGGATTTTCAGGAATATAATCACCAATCGTTTCATCCCTGGTAGTTTTATCCGTGATAGATTAATTGTTTTCGTGAAGTTGAGTCAGGAAAAGCAATTCGACCATGAAAAAATTTTATTACATAATTTTATTGCTTCACTGCTTCAATTGTTCGTGCTTCCATACTTCACTTTTTATAATGAATGCTCCGGTATTCCTTTTTACTTGTATGTATAACGCTATCACTACAAAAGTGCTTTTGTTAATGTTTTTGAGTTTTTGTTTCGTTTAGATGTTTTTTTTTTTTTGTTTTTTTTTTTGTCTATGAAATATATATTTGCGCCTATCAACAATAAGTTGACAATCAGCAAATGTGATGACGATAATGATATAATGACATGACAGGCATGGGGAAGGAAAGTACTCAGCAGTACCTCTTACCTAACTTGTTCAAATTACTTAGGTTGTCTAAGGAAGGAGATCCCTCATCCAACGCCTTTTTAGTCTCCTGCTCATGTTGTGAGGTATGTCAGCTGTGGGCATGTCTCCACAGAAGGATGGTCAAAGAGCCTGCAGTCAGCTGATTAGCGGCCATTTTGTGGATACATGGCTTGAGTCACCTGTGCAAGCTGTTGGAGGATACTAAACAGGGGCTGTATGAGGGAGTTTAAACCATTGAGTAATTGGAGCAATTGAGGTGGGGTTTAGATGTTGATATTAAATATAAAATGTAGGCAAAAAATAGCAATACTATCTAAACACAGGTATTCAAAATCTTATATTTTGTTTTTATTACTTCAAAAATGGTAATTAAATAATAATTTTAAAAAAATTACTTGTCACACATCTATTCCTATATGCAATCCATTCCATTCAGCCTAAGGATCTCCGAACGATGCCTCTCATGTGAAAGACAAGGCAGGGCTCAAAGAATTCCCAGTGCTTCTTTCCCAGTCGCATTACTGTATGAAAGCCACTGGAGATTAACTGGGAGCGTTTAAGCCATATACGCTCAGGACTTGAATGGAGAAGCTGGCAACTGCCAGATATCTAATAGAATATTATAACAATATTTACATGAAGAATATTTACAAAAGATCTCGGAGCCATTGTCGTTTCAACCTTCAAAGGTTATACGAACGATTGTTGTACGAAGGATACAATTGTACAGATAGGTAAGGATTATAATAGTTTTTTTAGAAAGTTGTTGAAGTGTTTGGCAATTGAGAAGATCGTATCTAGGGGATTTTCTATATTTCAGTTGATTTCATTTATTTATAAGGAATTTAATCTCAGAGGGGTTACCAGCTTTAGGAGGTAAGGAGAGAGGAATCGGTGAAGAGAGGAATTCCTTAACTTTCGTTGTGTGAGAGGGATTGTATTCAGTATGAGGATAAATGTTTTGGATAGATGCTTTGCGAATTCCACTGTCCTGTTCTCATCTGACGAAGCCCAGGATCTATCATCACGCCGGAGATAGTGGGAAATGGTGTGGTATTTTGGATTATTTTTTGTTACTTTCCAGAGGGAGTTATCAGAAGTTGAGAGCCAGGAGAGGTGTAAATTGAAGGATTGGGGTCTAAAGGTGGCCAACTTCTTCATATTTTAGCAAACATATTCTTTTTTAACAGTTTGGAAAGGTAGTTGTCGTCAGAATGCCTGGTCCTTTGCCAGTGGGTCCTGAAACTTCGCTTGGCATGAATGAGGTTTGTCTTGAGGTGAAGGATTTTTCTTGCTGCATTTCAGTGAAAGAAAAGGTGAAGGAGTAATCCAAACTGCTTGTTGAATCGAGTTCGTGAAGGAATTTACGGCATCATTCTAGGTCTTGGGGAGTTTTTAGGAATACACTAATCAATTTATTCGTTTATTATTTGCCTGAAAAGCTTCCAGTTAACTGGATTATTCCCTTATGAATGAAGGAGGGAATGATTTGGGAATTGGCGATATGGAAAGGGTTAGGATAAGGGAACCGTGGTCACAGGAAAGATCCTCGAGGTAACAGAATAATTCAGTGGCCCTAGACCTTTGTGTATGGAAAAGTCTGGGTGGTCGGGATTGCGGTTAGGATCAGTTGGCGAGTATGTGAGAGTGTTGGCTGAGATGATTGTGCCATGATTGGAATTAAGTGAAGACAGCAATGTTTGCCCTCGGGAAATAGTGGTTCTAGATCTCCATTGCTGATGTTTCACACTTCCAACATATATCAATAACCATTAGATTTGATTTCTTAATAGTTAAAGATAAATTTCTGAAAAGTTTTTATTTTATATCTTTGGTTCCAATTTTTAATGGAGTTCGTGTTTAAGCTATTTCGTATAGTATATAGGCCCCTAAATCCTTAAAATTTTCTTGAGGATCAGTGGAGTACTTTTGAAGTTATTGCAATTTTTATGGACTTCCAAAAAAATCGGTTTGGCAGAAAGTATTTTTTTTTTTAAATAGGAAGAGTGGTAAGTGAAAGTAGTTTTATGATTGCCCAACCTTTCATCTGATTTTAAAACACATAGAATTCACTATAACTAAGCATGATGACAATGTGCTTACATTGTACTTAAACACTTTCGACTTGCCCCTACAACTGACATATCTCTTCTTTTGTTCCCTCATTCCCAGGTTTTTGAACAAATCAAAAAGTATCCTGAATGAAAAGGTGCTGGACATGACTTGATTAACGCTATAGTGCCACAACAAATGCCTAGAAATGCTCAAGTGCTTCAGACAGCTATTTATAATACAGCATTGCCACTATGGACATTTAAAATATTAACTATGGACAAGTAAATTTACACTACAATGGAAATATTCACATGATCCACAAACCTAACAAAGGCAAAAGTTTACCTTCATCGTACCAAGCAATCATCTTACTTCCTATCTGTTCCAAAATTTTCTAAAGCTTATTGAACAAAAGACTTGTTGATATACTAACATACACGTAAATAATACCTTCAATTTGGATTTAGGACACATACTCAACTATACACCAACTACATAGAGTGGTGGACTACATCTCTACAGCTTTTCTAAAGCTTATTGAACAAAAGATTTGTTGATATACTAACATACACGTAAATAATACCTTCAATTTGGATTTAGGACACATACTCAACTATACACCAACTACATAGAGTGGTGGACTACATCTCTACAGCTTTTCTAAAGCTTATTGAACAAAAGACTTGTTGATATACTAACATACACGTAAATAATACCTTCAATTTGGATTTAGGACACATACTCAACCATACACCAACTACATAGAGTGGTGGACTACATCTCTACAGCATTAGAGTAGAAATTGTATGTAACTGGCGTATCTCTAGATGTCGATCAAGTGTTTGGCTAATAATTAATTCTACAATCATTCCTTTCCGACAATTTTGTCTCCTTCCGATTCGGGTCTGAAATATTTCCCTTTACGTATATCTCAGGAGAAGTATACCACGATTCAGTACCTGCTTCTTGTAGTTTTTTTTTTTTTTTTTTTTTGGCTTTATTTAATGAAATTCAAAACTGTGTACAAATGCAACTAGTAAATATGCACAAATTATAAATAATGACATGAACAGGCTTGAAGAGATATTATCCAGTGGTAGCACTCCCAAATAATTCTAGGTAAGAAGATCACGAGGCCCTCTCCTTTTCAGACGCCAAGGAGGATTATCAGGAATCGAGGAAGAAGCAATGGTGGAAACAAGGGGATTTGGATGTTACTGGAGTTTATCATGAACGTATCGATATCTGATTCAGCCTAAAGCAGCGACATACCTTGTAGTTTTAAAATTTTAACATCGACATATCCAAATGACACTGCTATTTTAGCAAGAAATGAAAATCCAACTTAGGCCTTACAGACCCTAAAATAATATTTAAATAAATTACATGACTGGTTAAAATTCTGGAAAGTCGGACTAAATCAAGATAAAACATAGGACATCACTTTTATTGGAGGATATCAAACATGTCCTCCAGTTTTTATTGACAATATACGGATTCCACAAACTGATATCTTTAACTACTATGGTTTGACATTTAACCGAAAAATAACATGGGGCTCACGTATTATCAAATAAAGAAAAACACTTAATCAAGGACTAAGACTTCTAAATTCCCTTCTCACTAAACATTCAAACTAAAACTTACATTAGACAAAAATTGAACACATATACTTACTTACTGAAACCTAATTGAATTTACGCATCACAAGTATTTGGAACAGCTAAAAGGACTCATAGTAACGAACTTAAAATCTTTCAAGCTAAAACGTGCAGGACAATAACAAAGCACCTCGATACGTTAGCCACACAGCCTTTCACACTGACCTTCACATTCTAACTATTAAAAACGAATTCATGACAAATTACTGGAACATCCTAACATACTCATAAGCAACATGGCCACAACACACATGCCGGGTAACGTCCGTAGAAGATTGAGGAGGAACTGGATGAGGGATCTCCTCGCCTAACAATTAATATAAATATCCAGGAAGCTGAGTGCCGCTCACCCTCGTGCCTCTCGCGCAATTTTATTTACAGGTGTGAACACCAAATTCACTGATATTGCTGTTAATTTCTTTGACAGGTGAGAATAAAGATAACAAGTTAAGAAAACAATAATAATAATTTTCGTATTAGTAATATACTAAAAATTTTCCAAAATAAAATAAAATTTATACAGATATATTGGCTTACGGGGTTCCAGAGACTGATTCGAGTGCTGCGGCAGTTACGGAGGAGAAACCCTGACTGAGATCAGCCGTTGATGGCTTTTGGTTTTCACGCTTTTAAACCCAATCAAATGAACTATCCTTATTTTTCAAATGCTCACTGCTTAATTAAATCCTGACTGAATTTTCACTTATCATCAGCAGCATTTAAAAAAAAAAAGATTTAATTTTCATGGTTTTGCCTTTGACCAACCAGAATAATCCATTTTTTTATAATGTTTCGGAACTATATTAATTGTATTAATTGAATATTATAACACTACCATCGATGCTAATGTCTGTAACAAGAATATAAACGCTAAAATAATTATACGACACTATAAAACAATAATATAACACTCAAAAATACATATAATAAAAAAACGCTGCAAATTATTTCACAATGGTTTATTATCTCCAAACAATTATACATCTAAAGTAACATTACCTTCCGAGTTACAAAGAAAAAAAAACTGTTTTTCTATAATCATTAGTAATATCCTAAAAAAAATAGCATTAGTTCAGTAACACATTTAAAATTTAAAAACCAAACCAAGGATATACCATTTGGAGTAGGACACATAAAAAAAACCGGAGACCATATCTTTGCTCCTAATTGTCCGATTTTAACGAGTTTTTTAGGAAATTTCGTGAACTTTAAAAAAGATATATACAACAGAAAAGTAAAAACTTTTCGAGTTATTCGGAATTTAATTTTACCATCCCTCGTAACTTTTTTTCCAGCTTCTTTTCGTTGAAGTATGTAATATAGATAAATTTAAAGGGGTCGAGAAAATGACTTTAGCGAAGTTTCATTGAAATCTGTACATTCGCTTAGGAGCTACAGTCTATAGCAACGCAGGTTTTTCGGCCGCCATTTTGAAATTTAAAGGCGGAGAGTAATGTCGATGAAGGAGGATCATCCTCGGGTGACCTCTGATTTTATATCAAAATTTGAAAAAAATCGGTCCAGTAGTTTCGGAGAAAATGCTCGTACGGCGGACGGCGGACGGACAAAAAAATTTGTAATCGTTTTTCGAATTCTACGCGTCTTGGAACGTGAAACCTCAAATTTTGAGAGAGGGTTATGTTTTTGAATTTTTCTGTCGATCACAATGTTACATTATTGAAAATAATAAACCAAAATATAATAAATCGAGAAAGCGAGATGTAATACTCCAATGGGGCGGAGGTTAGAGGCGAATGAATCAATAAATTTTTAGATAAGTTTACGGAATAAATTTATTGAAAGAACGATAGTATTTATAAGAGTTATAGTTACGGGTGAATATTTTAACTCGGCATAGTTCCCCAGCCATTTCCCGCGGTCCTGGAAAAATCCTGTATAGTCTAAAAGACGAGAAAAATTTAGGTTACGAGAAAATATTGAAATTATAATTATAAACAAATTCTATAATGTATGCTGAAGTCGGAAAGTATTTCCTGTATAAAACAGAAAAAAAAAATACAGTGTAATGTTGCTGCCATTGGATTAAGTCCTATTGCATAGTTTGTGAAATTTGATTTTACAAATTTAATACTTAGTTGTAAAAGATGTTGCTGTTGATCAGTGTGATTTAGATCTGTCGTTGAAATGAATTATCTCTTTGAGCAGTTTTTAATTTTGTTAATTTTATCAATCCGTAATTAGAAAAATTAAAATAAAATAAATAAAACTATAAGAAATGATTTAGTCATATCTATAAGTGGAGCTGCTTGAGAGATGTCTCCTCTCTTCTAATCCTGAAGGAAGACTTATTGCCTGTATTATTTGTTGATTTTTTCCAGTGTCTAATTCTTACCGATTTTTGTATAAGCTTATGCAACTTAGTTAATTTTAATAATTGTATCGGAATTGGTGTGGGAATATATTGGGAATATATAAGGAGGGGTCGAAATTGGTCGGTCTCAATTTGCTTAAATTTATTTATTCAAGTGTTTTGACCACTACTATCATCATTATAATTTCAGATCTATTTATATAATTTATTATAGATGTTCATATTATATATTAGTACTGCAGTATTTCTTTTATAAAACTATTAGTCGGAACGTTCAGTAAGAAAAAACCACGCTCTTCGACATAGAAACAAAAAAGTTGAAATGTTCAGGCCATTTACAAAGAATTACAGAGGTGCGAGAAAAGCGATTCAATTAAGTATTCTTGAAAGAAAAGCGAATAAAAAAGAGGGCCTAGAAAGAGTTGGTTGCAGGGTAAGGTATGATTTTAGATATAACAAACAACTAATTTGTAAAAAAAAATCCTCTATAAAAAAAATGTTCATAGTTACGAAAAACGTCATACGATGCGCTTGACATCCCTTTTCTATTTTGCAATATTTTTATTTATTATCGTATATATAAAATATATTTACATCGTATAAACAATCAAAAATTTATATTTAATATTTAATCTACTTTAGAATATATCAATATCTGATCGATTCCGCCTAAGGTTCACAATTTCATAGTTAGCAATTAGCAAAAAAAAAAAAAAAAAATTTTGAACATATTTTAATTTGAGTTTCGTTTATATTTCCTTGGGGATTTGACTGTAAAAGAATGAAATGAAATGATCACATTTTATTTGATGATATGAAGTTGTTAGATTCAAGCAAATTATTTGTTTTCAATCTTCAAAAAGATTGTTTTAATGAATAGAAGTGGATAAGATTGAATTTCACTCAGTCTGGAGATGCTCGAACTACGAAACGTGAGGTAGGAATTATCCAATCTTTTTTTTTTTTTTTAATTATTAATTAAAAAGGAAAATTGTTAAATCATTTGTTCTTAAATATAAACACTTAATATGTTTTTCTTTTACAATAAATCAATAACAATTCTATAAATATATTTTCACTATAACTGTCACAATAGAAATATGCATTATTACATAGAGTTACTTTGTGCGATACTATCATCTTTCTGTGACTATATTTTTAGATACTTGTGCATAACAATAAAAGTAATTATCTGGCTCAGTCGACTGCTAGTTTCCTGAAGGTGCCGTCAATTCCGTAAGTGTTCTGGGAGTCTGGAGGTCGCTTCTTCTCGTCTGAGGATTGCCTCGTAGATTGCAGGAACCATTCTCGATTTTCTTCCAGTTGGTCCAACCAGTAATCTAGAAAATAAGTTCCTAATTTAGCTAAGATAATCCCAATAAACGAAATTCGAAATAAAACCACATATAACTATTAAAGTCATTGAGTATTAAATGAGTAAACAATTAAAAGACAGGAAATAATGTGGCTCTAGATTCTCATTTGGGAATCAGACAATATTCCAAAAAAAAAAATAAAGTAAACCAAATTTAAATATTCCATAAAAAGTGATAGTTTATAGACCAAATCTCGAACAGTCATTGCAAAGTAGAATTTAGTGGTTTCAGAAGAAAGATATCCTGCCTTGTAAACTGCGACACGCAGGGTCTTTTAAAAGAACCTCTTCAAGTGGTTAATCGATATCGTTTCTTTGTATTCTACGATATTAATTGAAATTAGAAACATTCATAACATAAAAAATACAAAAGTATTAGTGTAATTGACGATGGTTCCTTGCAATTTATGGAGAAGATTGGCTTGAGACAAATATATACAAAAAATAAACAAATATTTATACAAATAAAGAGACATATATTTACTATTAGATAATATACATATGTGTAGTTCACATAATCTCTCTTTACCGTTTAGTTCATAAAAAATAACTAACAAGTTTACACATATAAACAGACATACGTAGTATAATAATTCAGATAATTTCTCTTTACTATTTAGTTCAGCGGTAGATTTGTCATTTCCTCCGTACTCGGAAGGCAACATTTCTAATGGCATGTACTGTTTTAGGTTTGACGGTCCTTCCTTGAACACTTTTATCTAAATAAACATAACCAAATGAAGCAATTAGATATAATTCTGTTTTGATAAAAAAAAAACATCAATATGAAATATCGGTTATTATCTTTTAGGCAACAGGAAAGAGTGCTTGATGTTGTACTATACCTTTATAATTACTACAAGATTTGGCAGGTGAGGGCCATGTTCCAAACCTCTGATATACATTCCTCCTTCCTCTTCTGAATCCTGAACTGGTTTGCGAAAAGAGACAAATCGTCTTAGAAGAATTTACCAGCGGACAAAAGACAATGGACTAAGGGAATCTAGAAAGGTGGACTATCTCAAAAGTAAGCAAGCATACTTGCTTTATCCCATTTTGTGAAATTTATCCCATGGAACCCGCTTCTGTGCAACCCTGGATACCAATAGCTAAAACACACCACATGGAAGTAATTTTAAAATCTCAAAACGCAAGGAATCTGTAATCTACGACGAATTTTTCAACTTTCTTACTAAAATATTCCGAATGTACAACTCCATATTACAAACTCATAGGAGACCCATTTCTTTTAAAATAGTTGTAGTTACTCATAAATAGTTTTTCTCCTTTTTTTTTATTTATTCATTGGTAGCACTCTAATAATATATTTACATAAGTAGATCACGAGGCCTTTTCTAATCAGACGCCTTGGAGGGTTATCAGGTATCGAAGAGGAAGCAAGGTTTGAAACGAGAGGGTTCGGATTGTTTTGATGTTTGTTATGGAAGGATAGGTATCTGAATTGGGCTAAATCGGAAACATATGGTACGTTAAGGTGCGTTATGAATGATTTTATTTGTGACAAAGTAAGGAGCATTGAGGATCTTACGAAAGATTTTGGATTGTAAGGATTGGATTCGAGAGGAATTCGATGGTTTAGTGGAGCCCCATAACTCAATTCCGTAAGTCCAGATTGGATATATTATAGTCATGTTAAGTGGAAAAATATTTTTATGAGGTTTTAAATCGTTTAGGCAGCACATTTTAATGAATCTATGAATTTTCAGAAAGAACCACAATTTTATGGGGTTTAATTTAAAGAAAGTTTCAAAGCAGGGGGCACATACACATCAAGGGTAATTGTATTTGATTTACAATGTTTCCAATTCTACATTCGCTAGAACTGTTTTTGATAAGAGGAGAACAATAAATAATCATTCATCTTTTTTTTTCTCTTGGATGTTTTGAAACCGTTCATTAATGCAAGGAAAACTGATAGCAATTATACAGATCTTCACATAAAA